GTCAAGGTACATAAACACCATTGTCAAAAGGTTTGACATAAAAAATTCCAAGAGAAGTCTCATACCAATGAGATATGGGATATTGCTTTCTAGGAGTATATCCCCAAAAACTTCTAAAAAAAGAATAAATATGGATAGGATACCCTATGCGTCGGTGATATGGTCTATCATATATATTATGCTATGTACCAGGCCTAATATAGCATATGCTCTAAGTGTCACGAGTAGATATCAGGCGGATCTAAGCTTGGAGCACTAGAAAGCAAAAAAGTGTATCCTTAAATACTTGAGAAGGTCTAAGGATCTTTTACTAATATATAGAGGAAGTGGCCTTAGGGTTGAGGGCTAAAAAAACTTGAGTTTCTAGTATAATGTCGATGATAACAAGTCTAATTCAGGATATGTGTTCACGTTGAATAGAGGAGTAGTATGCTAGAAGAGTTTCAAGCAATATACTACTGTTGACAAGACTATAGAGGTAGAGTACATTATTGCAACAAAGGCAACAAAGAAGGGAGTCTGGATAAAAAAATTCATCATGGATCTAGGAGTGATCTAGGAGTACATTATTGCAACAAGCCGATTCTCTTATATTGTGATAAACAATGGGGTAATTTCTTAAGCAAAGGAACCATGGTCTCATTAGAAGTCTAAGCACGTTGTGAGGAGGTTCTACCTGATTAGAGAGATTGTGTCCCGAGGAGATATATAAGTGGAAAGAGTTTCATCCAAAGATAATATCATAAATCTACTAACAAAATTTTTATCTCATATTCTTTTTGAGCATCATAAGGGTCTGATGGTGATCAGACACATAGGTGATTGGCTTTAGGTTAAGTGAGAGATTGCTAGTCATATGTGCCCTACAAGTCAATCATGTGAGTGATGACATATGTGACATGATACATACTCTTTTCTCTTATTATTTATTTAGTATTTTTTTCATTTTATATTGCCTATTGTATGCATTATGATGTATATGAATCTGTGCAATGAAAATAGGATCATGATGAGATCACAATAATGAGACCGAGTCACCTTTAAATATAGAGCATAAATAATCTCGATCATAGGCCACTCGAGATGGACATTTGCTAGTCAAAGGTATCTTGCAAATCGATCACGTGAGTGATAGCACGTGTGACATGATATGAACTCTTTTTATTTATTATATTATTTGATATTTTATCACTTTATATTATTTGTTGCATATATATATTGCTAGTCATTGGTGCATTGAAAACCAATCACATGAGTGATGGCACGTGTGACATGACACACACTCTTTTTACATATTATATTATTTGATATTTTATTATTTTATATTACTTATTGTATTAATATATTATGATGTCCATGGATATATTCAATAGGAATCAGAACATAATGAGAATACGATAATAAGGCTCATTCGCCTTTAAATGCAAACCCTAAATAATCTCGGCCAATCAATGAACTTATTCTCCAATGAGTACCTGGCTCTGATACCACTGTTAGGAAATCTATGGCAGTATCACATGTGCAGTGGAAGAACAAAAAATAAAATCATAGATTTCACATAGAAAATGTTTCATCAACGTGCGAAGATTGGTGCGCAAAAATCGTAAAACCGAAAAACTATACATATATGCAAGATATGTTACCTGTAGAGATCATATATCCTTGAAATCCTAAATAGGAGAGGATGAAGAAGGTCAATTGTACTCCTCTTTAGCGGTGATCCACATGACAGGGGCTGTGAAAATGGTCTTCAAATCGCTGGACAATCCTCCTTTATATATGTACCATGCGATTTAGAAGGGGTCAACCCTTCTTGTTGTCCACATGCCCCAAACTGAGACTGTTGGTTGAGAAGAGGGAGAGATGAGTATACGAGGTGGTAGCAAAAAAGGAGTCTAGCCTATGACCCTTTGGTTCCTTCCTATTTATAGAGGTTACTTGTCAACTTAACCCTAATGAATCCTACCATATTAGGTATTGAATCTCAATCCAACTACCCAACCCTCTTGGATTAATAATCCTTTATTGGATTTTATTCACAAGATCTAATAATTCAAGGGCTTATTGGATATCCAATAAGATAGGGGCTCCAACGGATATCTCATATTCGAACCTCTACTCATCGCAACACCTACCATATGTATATGACCCTCTAGGCCTAATATCGAGCTAGCCATGAGTCATACTTGTCATAACTTTTTTTGAGTAAGTGAATTATTATCTTCATATTAATTTACTCGATTCAACGACTACGGACGTACTATGTCATTACGTCACAATCCATAGATGATACAGGTGAATCTAATTCACGTGACCTATCTGTCCTTAGTTATCATGTATCTATAGTCCCTTATTTATCTAATATCCTAGAGATCATATACCAAGCATGGTATTGTCATGCCCATATGAAATCTTCTTGAATCTCGCTCTAATCGGATTCTCTCAAAGTTCTCTTTCTCTCTTAATCCGATGACTTTATCCAAGGATTTGCTTGAGCAAAAACATATAGGATATTCCTCTTATAACACTAAGAGTGGATGATCCTTTATCGACACTCAATAGCCCTCGTAAAGTTGATTGTTATTCCCGATAACAAGTTGTGCTAGATATGAAATTTTCCTACCTATAAGTCCGGTATCAAAGAGTGGAGTACTCATATAGGATATCCTTGGTGTCTCAAGTCTAAGGACCAAATACACTATTAGACAACAAAATCATTGTTTGATAATAAGATATTATCAACCATCCAACATTCCGTGAGTAGATCTATCAATGAACCCGTTCTCTAATGAGCACATAAACTATATCCCTAGTGTCCCCATATGAAGAACTATGAGATCAATTGCCTTCATCAAATGAATGAGTATACAGCACATAAGTTTATCCAATTATCATAATATCGCTCTTGAGTAATCTACGACCGAGATTATTTAGGGTCTGTGTTTAAAGGTGAAGTAGTCTCATTATCGTGATCTCATCACGATTCGATTTTCATTGCACAGATCCATGAACATCACAATATATGCAACGAGAAATATAAAGTGAGAAAAAAATCAAATAAATAATAAACTAAAAGAGTGCGTATCATGTCAAACGTATCATCACTTACGTGATTAGCTTGTAAGGTACCTATGACTAACAAGTATATACATTTAAAATAACATATAATCATTTGAATTCAATTTTCTCATAATCTTTTAAAATGACATATAGATAGGTGAAGTTTGGTTAAAACTCTATCATCAATTGATTATCGTCATAAAAAAGGAGATTATTAAATATCATATTTTAATGATGAAATCAATTTATTAGTTTATGAACTAATATGCTTTTAAGATAAGTAACGTAGAAAATACTTCGTTCACAGACTCAAACTATCAAAAGGCAAATTGTCGAAGCAAGAGAATCAGATGTGCCGAGAAAAGTATCGTGTCAAAAATTGGGCATCGAGCTAGAGGATTGATCAACGTATTAAAGATTATATTTCATGCTATAAGTTCGGGCATTATACTAGAAGAATCAGGTATTTTATCAAAATATAGGATGTAATGCAAAAGTCAACATGTCGATAGATTAGACGATATACCGAAGGAAAGGATGATGTGCCGAAGGTTTAGATGAAGTGCCAAAAGATCGAATGATATACCAAAATAACATACAATGTGTTGAAAGCTTCATAATTATGCAGGATATGTGGTTGGATTTTAAAAGTCTTGATCGAGATCTTTTTAGGTCAAATTGAGTTAGTATTGGGTTGAAATTATGCCAACTTGTCAAAAAACTCATTGGGCTTAAATCAAGGCTGAATTGGGCCTATTAGAAGGCCAAATTGATGACCTAAGATAGGCCTAGGCAGTGGTACCGCTAGGACCAAAAGCTGTAATACCGCTTGAGTCGGTTGAAAAGCATTGTTTGTGCTTTTCTGGTGGTTTTAACGGTAGTACCACCCAGGCCGATAGTAGTACCACCAGAGCCTTTATTTGTGGTCCCATTATAGTGGTAGTACTTCCCAATGCTGATGGTAGTACTACTAGTACCTTGAAAATTCAGAGATTTAAATTTTTGGCTTAATTCTTGAAACCTTTTGGGGACTATAAATACCCTACTCATGCTTGCTTGATGGAGCATAAATTCTTGAGTATAAAAGTGTTATAAACTATCTTTTTGAGATGTATTTGAGTCTCTTCCTTCTTGAGTTTAGAAGTGATTTCAAGTTGTCGGAGGTGAAAGATCTTGTAAAAGAGAGAGTGTAAAGGTTTTCTCCTAAGCCTATTAAAAGGAGAAAAGCTATTACAAGGGTAGTTGATCTTTACCCATTAGAAAGAAGATCAATAATAAAAGTCAGTGGGTTTAAGGGAAGAAATATCATGAGTGGACAAGGTCAGGAAAACCGAACCACTGTAAATCGGTTTGTATCTCTTTTTTTGCCTTTGTTTTGTTATTGCTTACTGATTTACTTCACTCGCTACCTTTACTCATACTTTTGATTAAACACATTTTTTATATGGATTTATTGATCTAAACTTAAAATCGTATAAAATTGCTATAGTACTATTTCACCCCCCACCCCCCATCCTAATAGTAAAAACATAATTAGTCTTACATCTCGTGATAACTTAATTACTTGAAGCTCCTAATTGCTGATGACTAGATTGTCTACTCTTGCCCTTCTTTGAAGGTCAAGAATATAACCTCCATGTGCAGTTGGTGCAATACTAAAAAGCTACTTTTAGTCCTTTACCTATTGC